AGGGATCTCACAGTGTGAACGGGAGGTGCTTCAAGATTAGTTCCTCCCAGTGACCGTACGGAGCCAAGAGATCACAGGGCCTGTGAATCCATGACATGGGGTAATGGCTTGATCCTGGGTATCCAACCTTCAGCTGTGAATGCCATCTCTGTGTCACACACATCTGTAATAGCCATCTCCTACTTATCCAGGCTATGCTGTCTCCCCTTGACCCCTCGTGGGAATGTCAATGGTGTCTGCAGTTTCCAGTGACAAGGAGAATTTCTCTCTTACTCCTAATCACTGTACACTGTGGTGTTGGGGCTGCCTGTCTCTAGGGAAATTGATAGGTCTGTGACTGTGTGGATCAGAGCAGTTAGGAAACCTCCAAACCTCAGAGATGCAGCAGAGTGTCCACTCTCTGTAGAGTCCCTTGTGACATGGGTGCAGTGCTGACCCTGAGCAGCAGGGACAGGGCATGGCTCCTCCAGCTCTGTCTATTAGTTCCCCCTTTCAGTGGTTCAGAGGGATAACATTACGGTGAGCCTGAATCTCTGTATAGCCAATAGTTAGTGCGCTGGGGATGGGATTTTGGCTTCTTCGTGCCTAAATCACTTTTGAAAATGAGATTTAGGCTCCTAAGTCAATTAGACTTGCAACAATGAGTGCCACAACTCCTAGATATTTTTACAAATCTGGTCCTTAGTGCGTTTTATCCTGAGGCTCCTTCCGTGAAAGGGAGCTATTCCCTGACTCACAGGGGTGTTTTGAGGAGCTTAGATACTGAGGTGATCAGGGCCACATAAGTACTGTAGATAGACATAGACTATGAATTAAGTCCTCCGAGGCACTAGACCATGTTGGGGGTTGAAGGGGCTGCAGCCTCCCCCTCCCTGACACTTATGTTGCCTCGACCTGCTGCCTCCCATGCTCCTAGGCTCTGGTCTATGTGCCCCTAGCCTTCCTGTTCCTTGCCTCTGAAAAAAATTCTGGCTCTCCTTCTTCCATGTACTGATCTTATTAACTCTCACTAAATGCTGTCTGTCTCTGATGCTTACACTAGCCATTTTTCACTTAGGCACATGTGCGTGTGGCGAGGTCATTATTCCAGTGCTGTTTGTTTTCAGGGTGCACAGTAGCCAATAAGAGGTGTTTTACCCTTTGCCTCCAGCTTTAGAAGGGCCTCTCATCTGACTTACTCATGGACACCTGGGATCGCCCTTGAATCCCCAAAGAGTTCTTCTAAAACATCCCGTTTGGGGCCTCATGCCCCAGACATCACTCCACTGTCCTGCGCCATTGGAGAGCTCTAGAAAAATGATGCTCAGACAACTTGGGTGTGGCCAGACAGCAGCTGGAGCGATACTGTATTTAGAACTTACTAAGAAAATTTAGGCTGAATCCAGAAGAGGATGGGTCTCAAAGGTAACTTTAAGCCTCCTTTCACATCCTGCTCCACTTTGGCGGTTAGTGGTGAGAGGAGCTCCAATAAGTTGCACTGGCTGTTAATGCCCCCACGGGACTGCTTCATCAACCCATGATCTTGAACGTATGATAAGGGTTCAGCCAGGCACCCTTCCCTGGCCACACTCCTGACATGCACTCTACACCAGAGATGAAGAGAAGGTGACATAGGGTCATGTTGGGAGAATCCCCAGCTCATCATTTAATCCAGCTTTCTCCATGCTTTGTGCTGGTGAAACACAGCAATTCATGTAAAATAGGTAGGAAGAATCAAGCTCTTGATTTAAACTTACAGTCATACCATATACAAGGCAAGCAAAGGATGCAAAGTTGATCGCATGCCAAACATTTTTTTTTACTTTATAAAAACCACAGACATTTACATTTAGATATTCAAAGAATCAGAAAATAATTATACAACACAAATTATTAAACTATATACAAACATACTGCATTTGTACAATCATAAGAAGTTCTGTAACAAAGTAACAGGTATAGAGTATAGGCTCACAAACTATTTAAAGCAACAGGGTCACTCGTGGAGTATTTGAGCTGATTTTGCTGGTGTCAAATTTCCAAATATGGGTACATCAAGTT